AGATCATGTTGTGCGGGGTGGAGAACCCTCACTCCGCGCAAGGGGGATGATCGCACGTTGTGTTAAGAAAATGGTCAAGCACCCTCGAGGCAGTTACACAGTGCTTACAACTGTCTCTGGAAGTGAAAGCACCAGAAGTTAAATTCAGTCATACGCAGCTGTCATCCGTATGCAAGGAAGTAAGCAAAAAATGCCGAACACCCTTAGCAGGATGCAGCGCACCCTTCATGCGACTCGCCGAACACCTCACGGCGCTTCGCGCTTGGTGATGTGAGAGCCTGGTCCGGTGAGAACCCGGCGTGCTCCATCCCGGCTTTGTAGGGATGCGAGGTGAATGGTCTAACGACTATGGCATGCACGACTATAAGTACACCCCCCCCTATGGGGAAGATTCCATTTCACGACTTTGCGACTAGCGGTTTCGAGGTTATCACTATAATAGACCACCTCGGCGACCGGCTCCATACACGATGGAAAGCCTAACGAGAACAGTTATACATACCAATATATCGTGGATGAACACAGTACATGCCACATCGAACCGAAACAACGAGGCTGTCGAGAACTATCCACTGAACCGATGGGTGCCTATCGAACCAAGCAACAAAAAAATATTTAGAAAAAAACTTTTTAAACCAAACATGCACGCAATAAATCGTTCTCATTGGCGTACAGTCCTACCGGACCACCATCCAATCCAATCAGATCCGCCCTCGCTACTGTCGATTTGCTACTGCAGCCGTAATGTTGCAGTAGCCTCTCTGCAAGCCCCTCTACAAGCCCCTCTACAAGACGGGGATGTGCCAGGATGGTTGAGCATCCCTAGCGGGTACCCGCCCTTTTCAACTCAAAACACAACTTGGCCATCCATTCTGTCCATCTGTGCCAAGAGACGTATGTCACCGCCCAATACAAGAGAGCGCCCACGACTGCTGCAGGTTATAGGTAGTGTTTCCGGTAACAGGTCCTAAAAATGACAAAATATAAAAATCTCCTCCCAGTGAAAATCGAAGGCAAAGTACCGCAGGAGGGGTGGGTAGGGGGCTCAGGGAGAGAAACCCTTCTGTGTGACCAACGGATGGAGTAAACGGCACATGTGCTGTGAGCGCTGATTTGAAGTGAAGACATTAAATATATAAATATGTAGGAGGTTTACCGTTTCTGGGTTGTAGTTGACGACGATGGCCTTGTAACCCATGCTGCGCATCTGCCTCACGCAGCTGACGGCGCACCAGTCGAACTCTACGCTGGAGCCGATGCAGTAGGCCCCGCACCCGAGCACCATGATGCCCTAAGTTGACGCCAAGAGAGAGAGAGGCAGGCAGAGCGAAAGATAGACGGGGTTAGAAAACAATAATAACATTTATATAATCAAACTTCACGCGATACGATGATACCTCGGTCTTGTTTTTGATACTTTAATGTCAACAGTCTCAGAAACGAAGGTTCTCGGAAGTTTCTCTTGAACATGTGCTACCCACTCTGCTACTAAGTGGGTCTGTTCCTCCAAAGTATGACGGCCGGCCCTGGTGCCTTGGGTCACCGGAGTCGCACGCGGGAAACCAATTCCATGCGGAGGTGACCTTGGAGAAGTTCCTCATCACCCCAACGTCCGCCTTTCCAGGGCGGTTGTTGCCCTCTTTCCACGTTGGCCGACAAAAAGAACGGGTTCGAGAAATTTATTCTTTTCACACACACAGAACCACACGCCCCCCTTCGGTAGAAACTTTTGAGTAGAAACCGTGTTCACGCTTCTTATCCCGCTACCAGACTGGCGTCTTTTCATTGGTCAGCCAATGAGCGCGGTCGGTGCCGGAGTAACAAGGTTCCTTTTGTCCAACCATCGCCTCCCATGCTCGCGTTTATTATCCCGCCACGTAGAAGACTCACGTCTTTTCATTGGTCAGCCTGCTAGGGTGGTCGATGCAAACTAAAAACTCGAACACACTATCTATATTATTGTGGTATGGATACCATCCTCCGTGTTCGTGCTCAGTATCCCCCGCTTCAAAACGGGCGACTCGTCATTGGTCAGTAGGTTAGCGCGGTCGATGCAAACAATACTCGACAATCGTACCATCTCCTCCTTCTCGATGTCGTGCTCGTTGCCTCCGTAGGTCATGTAGAGGTAGTTGGTGCTGGCGGGGAACTCTGCCGCAAGCGTGTCCACCTGCTTCACGTACGGACGGACTCCAGCTGCCTGTCTCTTGCGGCGAACCTACCAACAACACACAAAACACACAAAACATTCATTCATCAAAAAAAGGGGAGAGGGGACAGGGTAGAGGGGCGAGGGAGGGCGGTCATCGCGTACGGCACAAAGGGTGACATCATATAGCAAACAGGGCCCGTGCTGCCTGCCCCTTGCGCCGAACGTACCAACAACACACAAACACACCAAACATTTTTCGGCAAAATAGGGGGAGGGGGGGAATCGTGTACAACACAAAGATCGACATCATAGCAGCAAACCCGTTCGTTTTGGCAAGGGCAGGGCCCGTGCTGCCTGCCTTTTGAGGCGAGCGTGTCGAGAATATCATCAACACACGAAACACATTTCATCGTCATGAGAAAAAGGGGAGAAGGGGTCATTGTGCACAACAACTGTATCATCTATGGCTACCGTAGACGTGATTCGAAAGTACACTCGATGCTACCGTAGACATGGTTCGAAAGCACACCTACTTGTGCTACCGTACACATGCTTCGAATACCTGGTGCTCGGAAGTGCTCGTGTAGCGTGCGATCTGGCGGTCGCTGAAGCCGGAGGTCTTGAGGGCCAGCAGCCCCTGTCGCCCGAAGCCCTCGAGCGTGCCGGTGGACATCGCCACCTTCCAAGAGGAAGAAAGCATCAAGCATCAAGCATCAATTCAAACCTACTCACAATCAAACCATGTGTATGTGTCGTCCGCATGTCGTCACGCCATCGTGGTCATGGCCACGTATTTCAGCACACCCTACACTGTCACCCAACACGCCCCGAGTCATGCTATCGGCCCGTGGGTAACGAAAACGTCATCGAAAATAGCGAGTTGACAAGCACAGCTAGTTGTCGTGAAAATATGTTTTGCATCTATAGGTGTCTTGCCTGTATTTCAATTAATTATTATTGGGATTTTTTAGGGCGAACAAACAGTTTTTGAGTTTTTAGGGGCGAGGTAAAGGACAGAGGCAATCCGCGAAACGCCAAAACAAGGTGTGAATCAAGACACGGCACATCGATGGATAAAAATCACGGAAACATGATAAACAAGCATCGTGTATGCAGTCCTGCTTGTGTGCGTAGAGAGGGAAGACAGGCACCTTCTTCATCGTGGCGATGTTCTTGAGCTTGGAGAGGAAGAAGCGGTCGATCCTCGTGAGGTTGTGCACATCGTCCACGGTACGTCCCTCTTCCAGGGCCGCCTGCTCGGCAATAAATGACGGATGTAGTCGTGTTCCATCAAGAACACGCACAAAACACAAATAGCTCAAAACAAACAAGTAAACTACGATGCAAACCTCAAGTGTAGTGTTCCATCGATGACACAGGCAACGAAGAATACATTTCCCGATCGCCAACACCAGCAGATGCATCATCTCGGGGGACGTAACGCAATCGTGGACGTGCATCAAGAAATACCCAATTTTCTGAAAATGTTAAACGCACCAGCAGGGGTAGCGACTCGCCGGTGCAAACCGCAAACCACGAAAAAAAAAAAGATGAACGGGTGGTACAGCAGAAAGGTAGATCGACAAAAACCTACGGAACGGAGAAACAACCCGTCCCAGCGACAGCATCCGTACCATGACGGCGTACAGCCTGGAGTCGGTTGGGATCTTGAGCTGGTCGTTCTCGGAGACGGTGGAGTCATTGTCCCACTTACCCTCCAGCCCATCTAGGTCGGGATTCACCATCCTATGCAAACACAAGTCAACACGTATGGGGGG